TATCCAGCCAAATCCTTAGTTGTTTTTCCACCAGAAACCAAACCCAGATCCTTCCCATGCCACAGCTGTCACTGCCTTGATCCATAACCCACGGGCAGTGCTGGTTCATTCCATTTCCCAGAGCCACGCTGAACATTCCTTCCCCAGCATGCACTGATTCTGGACTTGGTCTCCTCCTCGGAGGCTGCGTGGGGCTGGGATTAGAGCTTCTTAGCACAGCCAGCTCGCTGGATCTGCCACTGTTTCCCACTAATCCTCTCTTTATTCCATGGCATGGATTACATGGCTGCTTTGGTGTTGCTGCAGTCAGGGCCTGGGGCTGTGCTGGCCCCAAGCTGCTGCGATGCCCTGGGATGGGCTCATATCTGAGGAGCTGCACCCTGGGTAGGGTCTGGTTGGGTGAGTGATGCTGAGCCTGTCTCCTGGTGGGAAGCACTGGTGTGTCTGTGATGTGTAGAAAGATGGCCCCAAATGGCATGATAAGGTGTTGAAATTCCCAGAGGCAAAACCAGGAGAGCAGATCCAACCCCCAGTGCAGTGTAGATGTCTCCACCTTGGGCATGTCCACCTTGGACTTCTCCATCTATAACGTCTGTCTTGGACTTCTCCTTGGACTTCTCTGTCTTGGACCTCTTCTGTCTTAGACTTCTCCATCTTGAACAACTCCACCTGGAACACCTCTGACTCCTGGGGAATCCATGGCTCCCAGAGAGAAGCAAACGCTACTGGAGCACAAAGTGCCATGTAGAACAGGACCATGAGGGATTTTGGGAGCACCTTGTTCAAACTCTGAGGGTCTGACTGAGCTGCTGACATTGTCACCAAGGGGTGGCCTGGAGCCTCCCCTGCTCTGGTGTCTTCCCACTCCCCGTTGGGTCATTAAGGATCTTTTCCATGTCTCTGCATTTCTCTAGGACTTTGGATGCAAAGGGAATGGGATGATTTTTAGTGATGAACTGCTCTCACAGGTTTTTTTTGCAAAGTCACACTGGTTTGTTGGGGTATTATGTCGTAGTGAGGCTCAGCCCAGCTTTTCCCACCAGCCCTGCCCCAGAGAGTAGCAGCTCCCAGTGTTCCTGCATCCTTCTTCAGCCAGCTAGGATGCTACTGAGCTGACTGAGGGTCACTCCAAGGATTTGGGACAGATGGGCTGTAATTTAAGCAGGCTGTGTTGATGTGCTCCTGGTGGTGCCCAGCAGCCTGGCCTGGGGCCACCAGCATGGCTGTGGCTACCGTCACTGTCACACACATGACTCTACTCCAAACCGTGTCTCGTTGACTGTCCATGCAGGATGATTTGGGATTCAGGTCAGCTCCATTCTTGTTATTTCCCCTTTTGCTTGCTGCTCAGAGTATTTTAGTGGGAGGGAAAGACAAATTAACTCTCTCCGGGCACCAGCACTCTGTGTATCTCACTGCTCTGGATTACCTCTGTGAGGGTGGTGAGGCACTGGCACAGGTTGTCCAGAGGAGCTGTGGCTGCTCCATCCCTGGGAGTGTTCCAGGCCAGGTTGGATGGGGCTTGGAGCAATCTGGGCTAGTTGGAGGTGTCCCTGCCCATGACAGGGGGCAGAACTGAATGAGCTCTAAGCTCCCTTCCAGCCCAAACCCTTCCATGATTCCATGACTGTCTGATACCACGCCATGCCGTGTGCCTGGAGTGGTGACATGGAGTGACTGTGTTCAGAGCTGAACAGAGGCTCCCAAATTGCCCTTCCCTTGGGGAGCTGTTTTGCAGCAAGCAGCAGCCAGCTGTGTCCCAGGGTTTTGATGACTCCAGGAAGGAAGGGAGCACTTATCTCGGAGGCAGCAGACGCATGTGGAATGGCTCAGTCCCTGATGAATGGAGTGACAGCTTCTGCTGTATAATTCACTGATGAAAAAGAGATGATTGAATGCATCTGGCAGTTTCCTCCTCTCCTGTCACTGCTGGGTGATGAAGTGGTCCTTGTCCCATGGTTGAGGAGCAGGAGATGGTGCTCCTGGAAGAGCAGGCACTACCCTGGCAGTCTTTTTCCTTCCTAAAGGTTAGATTAGCAGGGCTGTTCCTCTGGGGTGCTGGGGCAGGTGAGACTGCAGGTGTGAGTGTGTTCCCTTGGAATCTGTCAGTGTTGGGCTGGAGATGCTCAGCCTTGCTGGGGCCGCCCAAGAGGTTGTCACCCCTGTGGTTCAACCCCCAGGCAGAAGTTGTTCCCTGTGAGGATGCTGAGGCACTGGCACAGGTTGCCCAGAGCAGCTGTGGCTGCTCCATCCCAGGAAGTGTTTCCAGGTGAGGTTGGACAAGGCTTGGAGCAACCTGGGCTAGTGGAAAGTGTCCCTGCCCAAGGGTGGAACTGTATGATCTTTAATGTCCCTTCCAACGCAAACCATTTCATGATTCCATGCAGTCTGGCAGCCTCGCTGTGATCATTTACCCTTTCAAGCTAATTAACCTCATCCCTTTGTTCCTTCCATCCGAGTGTGACTGTTTGCTCCCCTGAGGAAGCAGAGATCCCTCGGGCTGTGACACCCCCACCTTGGCTGGAGAGGGTGACCTGGGTGATCGTTTTCTGCCTAACTAATCTCCAGGCTGCTAACGACTCTGCCATTAGCCTGCGACAAGCTGTGAAATGGGGATATTTGCTGTGACAAATGTGTGAAAGGTGCTAAATGTGCCCATGGCAGCAGAGGCTGCTGGAGCTGGTGGCACCGTGTCTCGCCTCCTGCTCCCCAGCAGGGTCGTGATGGCACTTTGCCTCTTCCTCCATGGGAATTTGCAGGAGCCCTTGTGGTATTTTTCCATGAAAATATGCTCTTTTAGCCACCTTTGGCTGTGCCTCCTTGTCCTGGCAGTGATTTACAGCTCCACCATCCAATGCTGGGTTAGGACACACAACAGCTTGTTCCAGCCACGGAGAGGAGAAGCCACCTCTGTCCCTCCTGCCACCTGGTTGCAGGTAGCACAGCGTTTCCCTGGGATTGCAGGTGGATGGAGCTTGCTTTTATCTCAAGTCACTGGTGACCTGTCGACTTGCCACTGCTCTCCAGCCCTGACTGTGCTGTGATGATGCTGAGACAGAACAGCCTTTGGGACTTTGGGACTTCATCCGGCTCTGGCCCTGGGGTGAAATCCAGGTCATGTTGTGTCACCTCCTGTACCTGCTGTCCCCTCCTTGTGTGGGAGGCAGCAGCTGGGGTGCTGTAAAGGATAAAACGTGGAGACCTCAAAGCAACCTGCCAGGAGCCAAAGTGGCTCCAGGGAAGTTGCAGAGGGACTCTTGGGTAGGAACTACAGGGACAGCACAAGGAGAAATGGGATGAAATTGCAAGAGGGAAATTGAGATGAGATTTTAGGCAGAAGATTTCCCTGAGAGGGTGGTGAGACACTGGCATAGGTTGCCCAGCACCCTACAGCCTTGGGAGCTCGTGGGGTGCTGCTGGCCAGACTCCACACCAGGGTCTGGGGTGTGTTTTGCTCAGTCAACAGAGATGTGGAAAAATACCCCCTGAGCTCTGTTTGGTGCTGCTCCCACCTCCAGTGAGCATCCCTGCTGGCAGCTGGGCTTGGGATCCCTACTGCAGGATATTCTCCCCTTGTGACCCTTAGCATTGCTTCTCTTCCAAGGAGTGATGCTTGCTTGGGTTGGTCTGGATCCTTCATGAGCAAACCACCAGGTTTGGATCAAGCCAATGTCTGAATAACAGGGGAAGAGGCTGCAGAGAGGGGAACCGAGAGCCTTCCAAAAACAGGGAGTAAACCCTGTATGTACCCCAGCTGGCTCCTAAATCCACGTGGAGAGAGGTTATGAGATGCTGCCCATCATCCCAGCCTGCTCTGTGGAGCTGCACAAGGACCATCTTGGTCATCTTCCCAGACCTCCCCACACTTGGCAGAGAATTGCCAACAACCACCTCTCCATCCCTTGGATTTGTTTGGTCTGTCTGTAAATGAAGCGTGTTGGTGCTGATTACCCTTCAGGATACAGCATGGATCCTCCATGCAGCTTGGGATGGAAGAGTCTGAGGTGTTACCTGCTGTGCTTTTCTTTAGGATGTTGATTCTCTTCAGCTGGTGGTGAAGTTTCTCCCAGCTCTGCTTCCCGTGGCTCCTCCCTAATTCCCTCCTTTAATTCCCCATGACACCTTCCAGCCCATGGTTAATTGCAGGAGGATAATTACAGGTGATTTCCCAGGGCATCGTTTTAAAGTGCTCAGTCCCTGAGCTGGCACTGTCCATGCTC